AAAAATATAGTTAATATCAAGTAAAAAATGGTATTGCACCTTCAGTCACAGATTAAAAGAAAGTGAAGGAGTGATTTCCAACCCTTTAAATCATATATATTCTTGATCAGCATAAAAAAGCGAATCGATCTAGTTATGTTCTAGGCAGCAGTTTTTTTTCAAATTTTTCCCAACTTTTTTAAGGGTTTCATCATTAAAATTTGCGAAAAAATTGGCCAAAAATTTTAATTCTTAAAATTTTTAAATTGAGTATGTAGATTTATTATTTTAACCTAGTAAAAACTAGCATAGATCAGCTTTCCGAATTAAAATGTATTATTTTTTGCCTTAGTTATGAGTTTTTGAAACTTAGATTTTGTCGTCAAAATTGTCACATAAAAATATTGATAAAGAATGTGAATATTTAGAGGTTAATTATGATCTAATTCTTACTGCATTCTATAATACAATTGCAAAGGGCATATAAACTTTAGATTACAGAAACTTTCTTTTTTTTTCTTTATAATATAAATACAAATACAACTTAAATTAAGATAATAAATATAAATAAACTTAGTGCCAAATGGATATGACGAATTCCAAAGAAATTCATATTGAATACAGGAATAACTTACAATACATTTTTTCAATTATACAAAATTATATTAATTATATTAATATATTATATTAATATTCTATGCAAACATAAAACTAAATATAATACATTAAAATATAAAATTTACCTAAGCACATTCATTTTTTAAGGGTAAATAAGCGGTTAGCTATTCCCCACCAATCCAAGAAAGTGAATATCCTGTAACAAACAACTCAATAAGATTCACGGATGTCCAGGCTTTTGGATTTCCCTATTGTCCTGTTGGTTCTTTAGTTAAATGTGTGTCTCTCTCTGTGTGGGTGTGTTTGTGTGCGGTCTATTAGCCGCTCTCATTCATTTGAGATTCGCTGAGCGATTGGCGACGTGTAAACGATAATCAAGTAATTTCCATTATGCCGCGTAACAGACATGGGCACCAAGAAAAGGCTGTTACGCTCGGAAAAGTAGTGGGGGGGGGGGGAGTTCGGGCAGGTGGGGAGGAAAAAAAAGCTGTGGGGACCGGGACCGGCAATAAAAGCCTCACTAAATTGCGATTGTCGCGACGACTGCGAAGGAGATACAAAATACATTACGCATACGCCCCGTGGCCCCAAACAAAAGCAAATCCAATTGCCAATTGTTGCGATAAAGCAAGCGGAGTCAAAGGAAATGTCGATGCTGCGAGGATTTCTTTCTACTTATTCTTCTTATTTGTTGCTATTGTTGTTGCTGTTGTTGTTTTTCACTATTTATTGGCAGTGGCATTTCATTGTCCTTGTCGCTGGTGGCTTGGCTTTTAGACAACTTTCTTTTGCCCACTTTCTCTCCCAGTCTCTCTCTCTCTCTCTTTTGGTGTCTCATTGCTCTTGTTTTGTGCTTTTAAGGCGCTCGCGATAATGGCCAATGATGCATGTGTGTGTGTGTGTGTGTGTGTGTCAGCACTTTGCGACAACAATGCCACCGAAACACCACCCCATGTATACCCACTCACACACACACACTCACAGAAAGAGAGAGAGAGAGGTACACTGCCCCCTTGGCCAGCACTTCTTCACAGTGTAATGGCAACGGCGACGGAAACGGAAGCAACATACTTAGACGCTAGGACACACAACTGCCCTAGAGTGAGAGAGTGAGAGGGGAGCAGAGCTAGAGAGAGAGGGGAGCAGAGCTAGAGTGAGATAGAGAGTGAGAGGGTGGGGAGAGAGAGTGATGGGTCATTGGTTAGCTTGGAACGATTACTGGGAAAACTCAACTGCAACACTAAATGTGCGCAAGCAGAGTAATTGTCAACAAATTGCACTCAAAAAATTATTTCGAGCAGGGTTTTCTAAAAGTTTTAAAATATGTTCAAGGGTCTGCAAAAATTCCAAATTATTTCAAATTGCAGGTAAAAATAAGCAGTACAATAGCAAGTAAACTACTCCTATGTAAAATAAAGAGTAATTGCCAAACAATGTTCACTCATAAGTATTTTGAACAAGGCTTTAAATAAGTTTTAAATATTTTTAGACACCTCAAATTATTTAAAATTGCAGCTAAAAACAAGAAATGAAGCAAACTTTGTATAGCCTTGCAGACTGAAATTCGATCACCAGGAATAAATAAAATATAATTTATATATATTTATTTTTTAAAACAATAAAGTAATGCCAGCTTTCATTTCATTCACCTATACATTTTATATTTACAGTTTTACATTCACCATTTTGCATTTTCCTCTCTTTTAAACAAAATTTAGATTAATATATAATAATTGCTATATATCAAATTTGATGAAAATGTGTTGAAAACTAGAAAAGGTATACGTTTTTTTTTAAATTTTCCGATTGTTCCTATGGCAGCTATAAATATGTGTGTATATAGTCCACCGATTCGCCATGCTCCGACTTATATACTAGTAAAATTATATAGAAAAATAACTCCACAGTTTCTTTTAAATAGGTTAAATTTGTTTTAAAAGAAATCCCGCGCATCTGTGCATATGATTCCCAACTAGTTCTAACATCCACGGAACGAAGTGACTGCCGCCAGCCAGTCTTAGAAAAGAGTTGTTACAAAAGTTGCAAGTCATTGTTTATTAGTGTTCAAAGTTAGGAACTGATCAAACATAACATACTTACTGGTCATAGCTACTTACTGTTCAGAGTTACTTAATGTTAATTAATACTTACTCACCAGAGTTACTTACTGCTCATAGTTACTTACTTATCTTAATTGAGATTTACTGATCATAGTTACTTACTGGTCATAGTTAATTACTGATTATAGTTATTCATGATTATAGTTTTATTTATTTAATCATTTTGTTTTATTTTAATAATTTTTCTTTTTATTTTACATTGTTTTTCTCTCTGTGTTACAATAAAAACGCAACAAGCGAAATGAAGTGAAGTGAAACGGTCATCGCGGATTAGCGTAAACGTAAAAAGTTCGCATATGCGTGTGTGTCCATGTGTGTGTGCAAGAGTGTGTGTGTGTGCCAGTGAGTGTTAACAGTTAATTGTTTTGCGTGCGTGTCACATGTCCCTATATCTCTCTACAAAGCACACCCAACCCCACCGCACCCCACCTCCAACCTCCTCGCAGCATCTTTGTGTCACCAAATTGTGTCATTAGCAGTCGCATAAAAAGCAAAATGGCCCGAACAGCTCATTGGCACGTTCCAAAACTCGCCATGAAGATGATGACATGGCCATCTTCTTCTTGGTTAGCTCCCATAATTTCTTAGTCTCTCTCTCTCTCTCTCAGTCGCTCTCTGTTAACTTTTTTTTGCCAGAGTTTTATTTGCCAGCCATAAAGGCAAGTTGTCCGGGTTTATAACCGCAGAATAAAAGTTAAAAATTTATAAATCTTCTTCTCTGGAAAGTGTGAGAAAGTGTGTGAAGCCTGGCACTGACGGAAAACCCATTGACATTATTGTTGAAAAAAAACTCTAGGGAACTTAGAGACAATAAGATTTCTATAAAATATTTTCTTTTAGTTAAAAGAAAAATGTTGAAAACAGAATATACTTTACATTATTAATTAAAAACTTAACATATGTCAGCTGTAAAATGTTTCCTTTTTGTTTATCAGAATAAATAAACCAAAGGTGAATAAGTTAATAAAAGAAATAACAAAAAAGTAATTAAATATTATAAAAGGCGATAGCATTTACAATCGAAATAATCGATTTATTATATTTCAAAATCGATAAGACAATGTTTACATTCAAAGACAGTAAATACTTTTTAAGATTTATAAATATATCCTTAAGCAATCGATTACCGATATCCTTTTTTTATCGAATCTTATCGACTTTGATTCCGCTGATCCCTTTTCCATATCCTTTTTTATGATCCTTATGATTTGTAGAGACAACCTGAATATATATCCCCAGAAACCCATCATGGATGCTACAATCGCAAAAAAATCGATAGCATTGTTGAACTTTTGATGTGATTGCCAGCTCTAGGAAAACCCTTTTCCCTCCCCCCTCACCATAAATGGCAACCATGGCCGATTGCTGATATGACAGCTTCAACCAATTTCTTTTTTTCTGAGCTGTTTACACTTGCTGCAGCGTGCGAGCTTAAATTTTCCGCTTTTTGATGTGCCAATTTTGCGCCCAAAAAAAGAAAAATCAACGTATATATGTATATATTTATATATATAAAATAAAAAAAACTTGCGTCAAGCGGCAGCGAAACTAAATAAATAAATGTATGCTCACACCCACGCATACATATGCACACTCATGCATGCAAGTTTTATTTAAGAGTGCAAAAAGTAAAGCAATAAACACGGACACACACACACACACACACACACACACACACATAGATACCGGCAGGGCCAACGGGGCGTATGTGTGTTATGCATGAAAATAAAAGTTTTCCATAATTTTGTATAAGAAAAGTTTTCTTGCGTTGTGTTCTCACCATAGTTGCAAGTGCTTCCTGCCCTTCCCGTTGGATTTTTATTTTATTTTTCTTTACTTTATTTTTATTTTTTTGGTTTCTTTTTCTGGAAAAGCGAAGGAAAATGGGTGGTGGGGTGGTGGAAAAACGGTAGGCGGCGTAGAACAGAACTGCTGGCGGTCTAGGCCCAAAGTGGCTACAAAACTTTTACGCTGCTTGTGAATTAATTAAAAGATGAACTGGGCAGGCCAACAAAAGAGAAGAAAAAAAAATGTCTAAGATAAAACTAAAAGGGAGGAGTATGAGTACTATATATATAAATTATATATAGTATATATTTCGTATAATGGCACAAAGCAACGCTGTCTTTGGGGTTAACTGCTGATGGGCCTGGGCATAACCTTTAAGTAGACTTTTATTTTATGGTAGGTTTACGGAAATAAAACAAATATAATAATGCAGTTATCTTTAGAATTTGATTTCAATTTTAATATGATTTTCAATGCGAATTTATACATTTAATTTGAGTTTAAATTATTGGCCAAAACGAAATCATCCAAAGTGCCATATAACAGAAAAATATGATGTCCAGAATCGTTGACCAAATGAAGTTTTAAAACGTCGCTTACAATTAAATAATATCTGAATGTGCTAAAGATGACGCTTTGGCCTGTTCAACGATGTTTTTTAAATATTTTAGATCTCGAGTTGGTTTTTCTGAATGGGGCATTTGAGCTTCTTCTTGAATCGATAATAAGGCCAGGTGGTAAAGGGTACTTTTTATAAACACCTCAGTTGTATTTGCCTTTTTAGCCAGTTTTTTAATGCTTATAATCTCGTGGCCAGTCTGTTGGTAACGAGATAAACAAATGGTTTATAATAAATTTATAAAATATTTTATTAAGTAATTGACTCACCTCATCATATTCCCCAAAGTAACGCTCTAAGGGACAAATGGGTAATTCAACTATTGACTCTTCAGATTCGGCGTCACTGATATCTTCTTTAACATCTTCCACTAGTTGTTCTTCTTTATCCTCTGACTTGTTTTCTTGATCGTCTTCTACTTTGTAATCGCCAGTTCCGTCATTTTTCTTTTTATCTATTATGGCGTCTTGCTTTAGTATTTCTTGTGTATCGCCTCCAGCTAATATATTCTTAGTGTCTTTCGGTTTTCCTTTTGTTTTTTTCTTATGGCTTCGAGGTTTTTTAAATCCTTGTACGATTCCTGACATATCTTCCCCTTCATATATAGTTAAAATGCCATCCTCATCAAGCGGTTTTCCGGTATAAAAACCAACATCTGTGGTCATATTATAAATGGTCCGTTTCAGAACCTTTGGGTCACATTCGCTCCGGGACACAAGCTTTTCAAAATCCCATGGATCGCTGAGGTTCAGCATAAATTTGGTCAAAAAATACGCGCCTTTCACATCTTGAATGTTATTAGAATATTTAATCTCCTCTTTATCTTTATCGACTTTAGGTTTATCTTCCATAATACTTTTATAGTTTTAGAATAGAAATATATATGAATAAATGTTTAATGTTTGATGTTTACGCTGGAACAGTTGGAGCTATACTGATTTATTGGAGACTTCAGTCTCTGGATATTAACAATTCGACTGACACATAGATCATGGATTACTTTCACTTTTATTTTTATTTTCTAAGTAATTATTTATAAATAAATTACAAGAGAGATAGAGAGAGAGAAAGAAAAAAACTCCCACATAAATCGGCTCAACATCAAGGTGTGTGCATGGGATACAGCTTTGGTTGACTTTTTCGTGGGCAACATACGACATGTGGCTAAATCCAATACAGAAGCTGGCTAAAAGGTGGGTGTGTGTGTGTGGTATAGTTGGTAGAGTGTGCAGATTGAGGCGGCTTAGGGAATGGGCTGGGAATGGTATGCAAATGGCAGCTGCGAGAGAGCAACACAAATGCAATTTGTATAATTGACTGTGACTGTGACTGTGGACTGTGACTGTGTGCGAAGCTGTCTGGGTTGCTTTTTATACCCTTGCAGGGTATTATAATTTCAGTCAGAAGTTTGCAACGCAGTGAAGGAGGCACCTCTGACCATATAAAGTATATTTATTCTTAATCAGGATCAACAGCCGAGTCAATCTAGCCATGTCCGTCTGTCCGTCTGTCCGTCCGTCTGTCCTTCTGTCCTTCTGTCCGTCTGTCCGTCTGTCCGTCTGTCCGTTTCTACGCAAACTAGTCTCTCAGTTTTGAAGCTATCTAAATGAAACTTTGTAGTTAGTCTTCTATATACTCTCACTCGTATATACATAAGTCGGAACGGGCCGGATCGGACGACTATATAGCTGCCATAGGAATGATTGGAAATTTTTTACAAAAAAAAATTATAACATTTTCAGTTTTTATACCGATCTACTATACCGATCGTTAGATGTGAAGGAAAAATTCAAATCTGTGAAAGTAAAACACAAATATAATATATATAGGTGAATGAAATGAAAGCAGGTATAAATTGAATGTTTTTAAACATAAATAAAAATAATTTATATTTATTGGATTCCTAGTCATCGAAGTTCTATCTGCAAGGGTATACAAACTTCGGCGTGCCGAAGTTAGCTTCCTTTCTTGTTCGATTTGGATTGTATTTGGGTTGGTATATATTTAAACAATTTGTCTGTGTATGTGCCCTGGCTCGGCCCTATTTTAACTTTCCTCCATGTTCATGTCCTGTGCTGTGTCCTGGCCAGCATTTTAGTTCACGTGCGGTTTTTTTTTTAGTTTTTGGCAACTGAAGTTGGTCTAAAAATTGAGGGAGTTGCTGCCGGAATTTGTTTGCGGTTAAATGCAATTAAAAAGAGATTTACAAGCAGCTACTACACCGTGGCCTTCTCACAAAAGTGTCCACCAAAATGCAGAATCACTGAGACAGAAAAAGAAAGAGAAAGCGAAATGCAGAGAGACAAAGACAGGGATAGGGACATTTAAATGTTGGCATTTTTGTGTGTGCATTATGTTGGCCTTCAGTTGAAATAACTGAAATACTCATTCATATACGATACGAGAGAGCACATGCTTCGTTTCGGTTCATTTTTGGTTTATTTTTGGCTTAGTTTTTCCAACTCCAAGAGTCACTTGCCAAAAAGAAAAAGAAGCCAGAGAAAACCCTGTTGGCCTGAATGGGCATTGAAGCTTGGGAATAGAAAATTATTGGCCCAGGGAAAGTGAGTTATGGATTTATTAATTGTGCAATTAAAGAACTTAGTCTTTTAAATAGAGTATAGTTAAGAAGGTATCTTAAGCTTAAGAAATATAATAAATGATGGAAGTTCAATGGAGTATTTGTTACTAGTTTTGAATCTTAGAATCTCAACACTAATTACTCATAAGAGAAGAAACTCTGGTAATATGCGAAATATCTTTGAAGGGCAGCGGAATGGCATTCAAATGAGGCTGCAAATTGCCTCGTTTGGATTGCGCCAACACAATTCCCATTAAAATTGACTTCAAGTTATTTACATAGCAATTAATAAATGCCATTACAGCCCAGCAGGCAGGCACACTGACGCAGCAGGATATTTTTTCCTCCTGTGGGGCAAAAAAAAAAAAAAAGAAATGAAGATGAAGAAATAAGCGGAGGAGCCAAACGAAGAAAAGAAAATACGCAGAAAAAAAAGGTACATGTAAATATTTGAGAAAAGCACAAAAGCCAAAAAGGGACAACAATGAGATGTAATGAAATAAAATGACAAGCGCCTCAAAGGAAGGCCGCGGCAGCATCGCAGGATCATGCCAAGAAGATATATCGTATGAATTATAAATGCAAACAATAAAGTATTTTCTTTCTTGTCAACCAAGACGACACAAATTAAAAAATATATATTTATATATATATATATATATGAACAGCTGGGGATAAATTAATAATCAGACTTTTTGAAATGAAATTATACATATATTTGCAACAGAGCAAGTTATACATGAATAATAGATTTGTATAGATTTGAATAGATTTGTATCCTAAAGTTTATTAATAAATTTATCGACCTTCTGATAGAAAGCAACTTTAACTTTAATATCATTAATAAATACTCCTCCTTATAATAACTCTTCTCCTTATAATAAACACTTCTTCATCCTTATCTCTATTACTAACTATTTAATAACTTTAACTTTTAACTTTAGAGGAACCTATATATATTATTTTTGTATTATATATATATTATTCTATATATGTATTAACTTTTAAACTAGATATAGCTAGTAATTTGTTCACTACTGTTATAGTAAGTTCATGTCCAGAGTACCGATGTTTGGCTTTCATCTTTCCTCTCTCCAGAGATACAAACGGATACAAAGATACATATATTTTTTTTTGCCAACGTCCTCGGGCGACAGGGAGCTGCCAATTAATGTGGATACTCCCACATCCTGTGGTGGGGGGGGGGAGGCGGTATTCAGTGGGCGTGGCAGACCAAAGGACGTGACGTGCGACTGCCGCCGCCCATTTTGGTTTTTTGCAATTTTCCAAATTACATTTGGAAATTTTTGCATTTGTCGTCCGTCCTGCTTTCCACTTTCCACTTCCATTTCCATTTTACATTTTACATTTTTTGCAGAGTAGAGAGAGAGAGAGAAAGTTCAGCTCTTCTCCTTTTTGTGTTGTTTTGGGCTTAGAGCAAAAATATTTGTATATAAATATTTGCCATGCTTTGTTCGTTTCTTTTAACGATTTCAAGCATTTCTCTTTCTTAAATATATTTCCATGTTTGCCCTGGCTGATTGTAATGCAATTTGTATGCATTGTGCATGGCCAAGCAACAGCAGCAGCAGCACCAGCAGGAGAGGCAGTTGGGGGAATCCCCCGCCGTCGTTGAGCAAAAGTCAGGCAATCTGGCAACCCTTTTGGGAACGGCAGCTGCAACAGCAACTGCAGGCTGCACCCACAAAACAGTGCTGTCAACAATCTAAGAAAAAGGATGTAAGAAATACAAAAAAAATGGAACAATATCAGAGATTGGGGAAATATGTAAAAAATAAAATAGGGCAGAGAAAGTTGTGCCAACTCTGGAAATAATCAAAAGAAAAACACTAACTAACCTTCAAAGAAAAGCTTGCCTAAAATAATTAATAGTTTCTTTGGGTTCATTTTTTATTACTTTTGTTTATCAAGAATTTATCTAGAAATTTAAAATTCATTTTAAATAAATCTAGAATATGTATTATAAGGAATTATGCCATTATCTTTTATATTTATACTTCTTTTATTTATTATTAAACTTAGTTAACCTTTTAAACTCCTAAATTGTAATAAGAAATGTCTTTCCTTTATCCTTTTAACCATAAAAAGGACAAATTCGTATTACAGACAAAATTATGACAGACAAACAGAGACGAAGAGCAAAATTATTTGCACAATGGAAATTAGTTTTAGCTTTTTGCATTTCCCCGCAATGCATACAAATGTCAAGCGATTGGGGAATGCCTTGCCACTTCTATATTTCAAACAAATACTTAAAGAAATAGATTCAGGAAAATATATAAAATATAATATTTAACATTAAACCCCTTTAGATAGAACTAGATGATGGTAAACAATTGCAAATCAAAATATTGCACTTGCAACCAATTGAGAGGGCAAAGCGTCAAAGCAGCAGAATCAGCAGCAAAACAAATCGTGCGCAAGAAAGCTGAAAGGGCAGAAAACAAAGGAGAAAGATGCTGGAAAAGCTGGGAAAAAATAGGAAAATATAAAAAAAATGAAGCAGGTCCCCAAAGGAAGAACCTTAAATACCCTTACGAGCAAGGGGATTAGAACTCTTTAAATAAGTTAAATGATTGTTAAAGGTATGCTTCCCTTTTGTGAAATGTCATATTTGTAATTAGAGTTTTTCTATAATATAAAATACTCCCTACTCCTTTGTGGAAAATTTAATTATATGCTCTAAATATTTAATAATATTATATATATTTTTAAGATTTATTAACCCTTTTACATTTTCAAAGTACTCATTGAATGTGTATTCCAAGGACAATTGTACCCTCTGATGTCATTACCAACACAACTCTGTGCAGAGAAAGCGATAGATTTGAAAAGGGAACTCAATTGTCCGGCAGTTGGCTTTAACAATGGCATCGAAGTTGAACTGAAAGTGAGACTAGAAATTGAACCGGGTTAGCGGCAATAAGCAGATTTCACATCAGGCATGCATATGGTCTTTGTTTCTTAGGGGTTTTTCCTCCCTTTTCTTTTTCGTTTGCCACAACTAGTGTGCAATTGACTTGGCGAATCTATTTCTCCAACGCCTGCCAAGTGTGTCATAGAAATTGTGGAATGTCTTTAGTGTGGGAAGTCTCTCTGAAACCCATTTCTGCCAGCCAAAAAATGTCAATGTGCTTTAAATAATTTCCTCAAACGAAATAGAGAATAATCTTTAAACAATTAAATAAATAAGAGCCCAGCAAAGTCTATCAAATTAGGAATAGGTCATGAATTTTGTGACCTGATGAGCAACAGGACAAAGATCACGGACCTTTGCCAGCAGGGGGCTTTCAGCTAAAACTTCCTCAGTGGCAGCATT